CCCCAACCCCTTCTCTCTCCCTCTCTTGTTTTTCTTCTCCGTCTCTCTCCCCCCCTCTCTCTCTCTCTCTTGTTTTCTCTCTGTTTTCAGGTTTGCAGCCTCAGGACAAAAGCAAGGATCTGTACTGGTTTTAGACAGCCCACCTTCTTCCCTGTAGGTCTCTGCATATAGCGCACTTGATGGCACTCAGCTGAAATCGAGTGGGTTTGTAACAGCTTCTGATCTTGGTTTACAGCTCGTCGCTATTCCCTCTGTGGTGCATCCCTCCTGAGCTGATCTGCTGACCCAGGGTTTCCCCTTCCCTTTCCCTTCTGACCAGCCGTGGAGGCTCAGCATCTGTGCCTCTCACTTCATGGATGAGGACATGGGGGAAGGCAGAGACTTCAAACTTCTCCGTGTATTGGGAAAACCAAAACACACATCTACAGAAATATTGTCAAACCATAATTCCTTCTGTGGAAAGAGCAGATCCAAAGACTGAATTATGTTGAATGACTTTTGGGCACATCACTGGAAATATCTGCGGTGAGGTCACTTAGATGATACGATGTCATAAATTTTCCTGGAAAGAGGAGGAAAAAAAGAGACTTTTTGGTGTGAATATTTTTTATGCTGATGTGAATTATTTCATTAAGTAGTGTGGCCGTAGCACTACGGATGTCAGTATCCTCACATTTGAAATGTATTTGTATTTGCATCAAAGACTGTGGTAGAGAAGTAAAAGAGGCCAATTCCTTCTTCCTCACCTCATAGCCTCCAGTTCCCTTCCTGCCAGCTCCCTCGCTGCAATACCCACTCCAGACACAAAGACACACTTTTTTCCTTTGGACTGTGAACATGGAAGCCTCAGCCTAAATGTGAGTGGCAAGTGGCTTATCTGGAGCCACCTGCCCAAGTCTTACTGAAATGCAGCTGTTGTAGGACAACTGTTTAAAACTCCAGAAATACATCGACCAAGGTGGCACTTCCCAGTGTTTGGCACAACAATTGCAATTTCACTGGATATATTTTATATGTGTGTGTGTGTGTAGATATATATCATATTTTTTACGAGGAACGTTTTACGATGAAAGAAGAAACCCTTTTCTGCCTTCTCTCCCACAAATTCTGCCTCTCCTTCTATCCTCCTCTGGATGAAAAGAAGCAACAAGAGATCCCCAACTGTCTCTATGAAGAACTAGGAATCACCACAAGGGGAAGAAATGTCCATGGAGTCTCTAATACCTCGAATATTCCTCTCAGTCTCTATGGTCATGATTTGGGCACTTCAGTTTTGGGACAGGGGAAGGGGTCTGTGCGTGGGCAAAATTGAAGGTGATGAGGAAGAAGGAACAAACATTAAAGATGTCTCTTTACTACAAGGTAACTGTGTTATTTCATAAGAAGAAAATAAATGTCCTAGTCTTTCTCCAGTAGAATAAAATAATTTATAGTAGTACAATCTGATGTCAGTAAGTACCATTACTTTATATGTAGAGTGCTCTGTGTTTTTCCAAAGTGTTTGCCATTCTGTGAAAGCTGATAACTCTTTTCCACTTTCCATCAACCCTGGAGGTGAGAAGTTAGGTAGCCCACCTCTGTTTCACAAATGAGAAAATTGTGGCCCACGGAAGCCCAGGGCTTATCTGTCAGCATTCACTGGGTTAAAAGCAGAGATGGTGCTGAAAAGGCTACCTGTGCACCATTCAGTCAGGTACATTATTATTGTTACTTTGTAAATTCTAGACTCTTAAAACAGTATTCAGTTAAAAGGTGTTTTGGGAATATTGGTTATATTATATTTTAATAAGGTAGGCTACAAAACCAAACCTACCAGGAGGAAGAAAAAAAAAAAAAAGGAAAAGCAAGAGAGAGAGAGAGAGAGATTATTTAAGAAATTAGTGGTCTTTCTCTTAATTTTCTCTTGATGCCAAAGTTGCGTTCACTCACTTCATTCACTAAAATGCCCAAGGGAGAGATTTTGTGTTATGTTCCAATTGCCCTTGCAGACTGTGAAAACATAAAAAGATGAGTTCAAACACTGACCTCCATTGTAATGTGAGAAACAAATTTATCTTGGATGATCATCTCAGGAGTTGGGGCGGTAAGGGACCCTACTCAGTGTACGGCTTAGGGAAATTACCCAGCCCCTCTTTCCATCATTATGGTCATCACAAGAACCTATCACTGGTGTTGCTCATACAGAAGGTACTCTCTCGTCATGGTGCCCAGATGTGATAACACTCATAACAACTAATGCTGTTTCTCAGGCACCGGTCTGAGGGCTTTGCATGCAGGTTAACTCATTTAAGTCTCACAACAATTCTATGTTATATTTATTATCATGATCCCCTTCTTACTGACGAGACAACAGAGGCTCACAGAGGAGAAATAATTTGCCCAGCCACACAGCCATTAAATGGCAGAGCCAGGGTTCCAACCCACTGCGGTAACTACTACTTGCCCTCTTCTAATTTGTCTTCAGTGGCTCAACTTTGGGTCCGCTTTGCCCTCCACAGTAGATGAATAAGGAAGGGAAGGAGGCAGGGCAGCCAAGGATGACACATCATAGAACTTACAAAATCCCTGGTCTCAAAGGAACTATCCTAAGACATTTTCACACCCTTTCATCAAATGATACTAACTATAGACCATTCAGTCAGAGGCAGATTTCCATTCTCCAGGAGGCAATTTTTATTGCTTCTCTTATTAATTCACTTCAGTATTTTCCAGACTTCACTGCTCTGAAGCTCCTCACACCCAACCCGACCAAGTCGTGTCAGAGTTAGCCTGAGGTTTGGACATTGAAGCAATAACTAAAATTAACTTTGGACTTCTCTGTGGATTTTTTTAATCCATGTTCCATTGGCACGGATCACTGGTATATACAAGCATAAATAAAATGCATTAAGTTCCGGCTCGCTTTTTAGAATTTGCCGCTGAGTATGCAGTTAGGGAAGGAAGCACGGTAGTGCGTTCTTTGCTGGACATGGTCTCCAAGTGTCCCCACTGGAAGAGGCTGTGCCCGTGCCCCACTGCGACAGCGCTCGCAGGATCTCTGATCAGAACCCACAGGGAGCACTTTCCCAGCCACGGGCCCCTGGTTACTGAAACCTCTCTCCTGAGCTGCATCTGACCTGAATATCAGGTTGCCGGTGAGGAGACTCATTCACTGGAACTGGCCTTTGGGGCAGTCCTGAACAGACCATCCAGACTCCAGCGACCTGGCACATAGGACACACGGATCACAGCATTTTCCTCCGTGTTGTATGTTCCCAAAGTAGAAATGCACAATAACCTAGAACTATAATGATTCTGTCCGTGTAATAAGAGCATCAAAGAGAACCTCGGTGAAAGAAGAGTCCTGACTGACAGGCGGTAGGCCCACCAAACCCACGCAAAATACGAATTCCCATGCCTGTCATTAATTTTCATGAAATGATGCAGCTTTGAGAAGGCAAACTAGTGGTTGACAAAAGGACATTCAAGGGAATGAAAGATGACAGGAGACAAGGCAAACATGACGTTTTCACGTGTGTTACACCTGGTTGGGAGCCCGAGGGAAAGAGAAGCTTCGGCTCCCCTCATCCCCGCTGGCGCTGGCGGCCTCCTCACGCACTCTTCCCTCCGCGCTTGGCCTCCGCTGAGCCAGAGGTGATGAAAAGGGGAGAGACAGCTCTGCGCCACCAAGTAATCCTTTTGCCGATTGCCCTCTGGCTGAGAACTCAGTCACCCAGCTTCAGGGAACTCTATCTGTTCTACTCCTTTAGTTTAAAAGGAGTTTCCAGCCTGTCTCATTTCCCCCTTTGAAGTTCTATTTCAATGTGTGGCAAATTCTAGCCATGACTTAAGATTGATTTGGGCCTGGATGGGAAGGAGGGCAGAGGTGGTGGATGTGAGGACTTAGATCCCCTGACTGGAAGCTTCTCTTGACACTCTTTCTGGGTAAGTACTGCACTTTCTGTGCTCATTTTTATCTGAGGAAACAACTCTTAAGATCAATTTAACCTCCAGTTTGCTCAGAATCATAAACCCTGCATTCATGTGCAGACACCCGTAACCCTCCTATCGAAATAAACAAGAATTTTTTTTAACACGTAGCGATTGATCACTGTGGGGTTGGAGGAGATAAAAAAAAATTAATACAACTTAGACAAACTGCTTTCCATATAAATGCTTTTTCTGTAAATTGCACTTTAATTTTTTTTTTAAGTTTATTTACTTTGAGAGAGAGACGGAGAGAAAGCAAGCAGGGGAGGAGCAGAGAGAGGGAGAGACAGAACCCCAAGCAAGCTCCAAGCTAACAGCGCAGAGCCCTACATGGGCCTTGAACTCACAAACGTTGAAATCATGACCTGAGCCGAACTCAGGAGTTGGATGCTTAACAGACTGAACCACCCAGGCGCCCCTCTATAAATTCCATTTTAAATGTAATTCTTATAGTCAAAGCATTAAAGAAAAATTGAAAGATATTTGCAAAGACTTTAAAAATAAATGAAACCAGGGGCACCTGGTTGGCTCAGTCCATTAAGCAACCAACTCTTGATTTCGGCTCAGGTCAGGATCTCTCCATTCATGAGACTGAGCCCCAACTAGAGCTCCATGCATGGAGCCTGCTTGGGATTCTCTCTCTCCCCCTCTCTCTGCCCCTCCCCAGTCGTGCTCTCTCTCAATAATAAATAAACTTAAAAAAAAAATAAATGAAACCAAAAAAACCCAAGATTCGTTTATAAAATTGCATTAACTCTGTTAATAATATACCTGCAAATAATTCACATTTTGATCATACTTATCAAAGTCCATACTCTATATATTCCATTTTCCTTGCAAGACTTTTAGGAATTAATATTATTCATTATTTATTACATATTCCTAAAATCTGGAGTAAAGGAATAAAAGTCCTGAAGGCAGTATCATTAGATTTGCTGTTTATATGTAACTGAAGTTTTGACATTTATACAAGCAACATGGTTAGGCAAACATAAATCTCCCATTTCCCCATGAATAAATTAAACTCTAACAATATAAATATGGTCTCCTCACAACAGAATCTATCTACAAATCTTTCTCTTTCTTTCACACACACACACACACACACACACACACACACACACACACACACTGATGCAGGCCTAAAGGGAAATCAGAGACACCGTGCCCTCAGACAGGCACAGACACAAATGATTATTCTCACTTGACAGACCAACTGTACCGCTCTTTCCTTGTATTTCACTCCAGCCCCAGAGGGCTGGATCAGGAAAGAGACACTTGATAGCTGCTGGTTCCGTGGCTGAAATATTTGTAAAGTTAACGCATAATCTGAAAGCAGAAGCTAATAAATTACAGAGTGCTAATTGGAGCTGGAGTGGAGCTGTCAATCACGTTATCCCAAACAGAGAGACCCTCATACCCTAAAAAGGCAAAGCAGCCTTCAGGAACAGCTCCCAGTTGTTTCCAGCCTTCACCTGAACCCCAGCATAAACATTGAGTCCAGGCAGCGTGGCCTCAGGCAGAGTTGGCAGAAGTGATTCTGCTAATCCAACCTCACTTTAAGAACACACAGATTCTCTTTTAGGAGGAAAGAGTAAAATGGTTTCACCAAAGTATTGTGTTCCGAGTAAAATAGTTTTACCGAAGTATTAATGTTTAGAGAAACATATTTACAGAAATATATATATATATATATGTTTGATATATATATATGTTTGATATATATATATACGTTTGATATATATATATGTTTGATATATATATGTTTGATATATATATATATATATATCTCAAATTTACTAGGACACTTACTACTTGGGTAAAATGTTAACCTTTATTTGGAGTTTTTCACTTAAAAAAAACAAGTTTAACTCAATAAGAGAAAAATCTCAAGTTCTCCACAAATTAATGTCATATCTACCTCAAGTTAGAGTACCTCTAGGAGTTTTCCAATATACTCTTACAGAACCCAGTCCTATAGAACAAAAATAAGATGTCCACACTTCCAATGCCTTACTGGAACTCATTCAGTTCCTCCTGAAAGAGCAGCAGCAGATTTTTTATTCTTTTGTTTTGTTCTTATAAAATCCTGGTGATCTCTGGTTCTACTTATCTCCCACTGTTTCAGATGGCTAAAGTCATTTTGTTCAAACTGTCCTCCTCTGTCATCATCATTTCCTACCCATAGTTTCCTACCCAAACCGTATAAATGAATAAATATATAATTATTACATATAAGAAAATGTAGGTTGAAGGTAAACTAAACTTTTGGAAAACAAAACTAAAGAATTAAAATGTTTTGATTCCTAATCAATATTTGTGTGACTCTCATGACCTAGTTACCAGGTAGAAATTTTTACCAACATTTACGTATGGGATCTATGCTTTGGTCTTTATGTGTATTTACAACTAGTAAAATACTCTTATAATTTAGAAACTTCTTTAGAATGCTTGAAACAAAAATAGTTCTCACTCGGGCAAAGCAAATCGCACATCTTAAAATTTCAAACACACAATGGCTCAAGTCAACAATTATAATAATGGGAATGTCATAAGCTTATTTCTTTTCCAGCTAATTCTCATTGCTATAGCCTTGCCCTTATTTTTGGCAACTACGTTACTGGCCCTGTGCCAATAATGGCACTATCATGAAATGGGATGGAAAACAAAAAGATGTATTTTGTTGTTGCTGCTGTTTAGTTTTACTAGGTGCAATAGTATTTCTTTTTTTCTTCATCTACCACATTTTACGCAATGTGTTATGCATCCCACAAAATGATTGGATGTTTTTCATCTAGGATCATATGACTTTTTTTTTATATTGTACCTGCTTTTTTTTATGGAGGTTCTGATATCTTAAGAAGCACTGCCTAAAGGTTCTGTATTATTAGCGTTATCCCACCTTGCTTGGTGGAGTGTGAAATCCTGTTTTTACTTCAGGCAATTTCTCCTCCATACCCAGACACTGATGGACAGATTTTGGTAACAAACATAGAGAATAGAGCTTATGATATTTGTTCTTCCTTGTCAAAGACTTCTAAGAACACATTTTTTTGCTTGCACTTTAAAAAAAGAATTTTTTTTAATGTTTTATTCTTGAGAGAGAGAGAGACAGAGCGTGAGAGGGGGGAAGGGCAGAGAAAGAGGGAAACACAGAATCCGAAGCAGGCTCCAGGCTCCAAGCTGTCTGCACAGAACCCTCACGAACCGTGAGATCATGACCTGAGCCGAAGTCGGACGCTCGACCAACTGAGCCACCCAGGCGCCCTTTGCTTGCACTTTTTCAAAGGAATAAGAGAAGAGTCTAGGGAAGTGTCAGATTTATACCCCGAGGGAAAACCACAATGAAACTGTATTCAGTTGGAATTGGTGAGAAGGAAAATTATTCACGATTTTATGTTTAACAGTTCCAAACTATGTAGTTAATAAATAAAAGTTACTAATACTGACACCTTCATCTTGCATTGAAGTTTGAGATGTCTGGTTATTTGGTATTTAAGGAGTGGTGTTATAAATATGACCGAAAAATTTTTAAATCCACCATTGGGATACTGCCATCTCCCTTTTTTGCCTGAGATATACAATGTATTGGAACGAAAAAGGAAAAATAAACAATGCTTCCCAGCCACAAAATGTACCAGGCCGCAGGTTAACATCGTCTTTAGGTCTTGGAAGAAAAAAAGAAAATATAGGTACCACTGAATCTCCCTATGTTACAGAACAGCAATAAAGGGCAATACATTAAATGCTAAAATAAAACAAAATTACACAGTTTAATGGTGTGTAATTTTTCGGGTCCTAAAAGCTTATGAGAACATTTCTTACTGCTGTTTTAGAGTCCATATTTCATTTTTGTCACCTCCTTTATTAGAGGAATTTCTAACTTGAACTCAGTTACACGCCGTTTATTCTTTTTCTCCTTAACATAAACAGAAAAGTCCTACAAGTGACATGAGAGAAAATACTTTGTATGTTGTCTTTTCATTTTCTGATCTGCTCCTTGTGCTTTCTTGTCCTGTGTATCCACAGCAACACTCAGAATGAAGTTAGAGCTACTTTGTCTCAGTTTTCAGGAGGACATCAAACTCACCTTCAGCTCAACAATGCACAATGTAGAAATTAACGGTACCTAAACACAACTCTAGTTGACTGTTCTGGGTTAGAGCAGTTTGCAATGTTTTATCATATTCCACACTTCCATGGAATTGTAAATTCCTACCTCCTGCTGTATTAGAAAACCTTCACTCTAACTACCCTGTTGCCCAAATGTTCTCTCTTCTCCAAAACCTAACAAGTTCTGCCTCTTTCGTGAAGCCTTGTCTCCACCCCAGACCCGGTGAGTATTCTCATCTTTATCAGGACTCTTCCCATCTAATGTCTGTGACATTCACTTGGCATTTATCTTCTAACCTCTTGGGACAAAAGTTCAGAATTTAAGAGGTTGTGGTAACCCTAAAGATCATCCCATTCACCCTTGAGTTGTAATATTCTTTACCTCCTTAACTAGATATTAAATACATTGGGCAGGTACCACCAATTATTTTGTGAAAAACACACTCAAATTATTGCATTATTTTTTTATATTTTATTAGGTGCAAGTGAATTTAAAAATACAAGTTGAGCTGAAGTTTGAAGTAAAAGTTAAAAAAAAAAAAAAAAAAGAAAAGGAAAGGAAAACTATCTGGAAGCCCGCTTCGGTAAAGAAAATCCTTTTGTTAAAAGGAGTGGGGAGCTCACCACTTTTAGTAGGAGCCAGTTAGGGTCAAATATCATTTTTCTTCACTTGTTTCCCACTCCTTGTGCTCAAAACATCACTTCAACAATTACCGTCTCTTCTCCCTGTATCATCAGTCTGCCCCCTCTACTGGATCATTCCCACTAATACAAAACGGGTTGCAATATTCCTGCCTTTATACAAACGAAAACAAAACAAAACAAAACAAAAAACTCCCTTA